GCAGCTTCAGAATTGAATCTTTATTATGATCATGATACTTATCTTTCCCTATGGCAAATAGACATCAGAAGATTTTTCACAAAATAGTGTTTGTGACGCTTAAGATCTATTGAAGAATTGTCACTGCCCTGATGGATATAAGTTATATCTTTCTGAATTGTGGATGGATTTCTTAAGAATAAATTCAGACTTATTTTGGCATTCTTTTTGTTTATTTTTGTCCAAGAAGAGATGCTTAAATACATTGGCTCATTTCAGTTCAGTTTTTTTTTCCTTTTTCTGATTGTAAATCTAAGCAAGTTTATACTAACTTGTTTAGTGAAAAAAATTATTCAAGTACATGTAGATGAGTTAAAGCATTTGGTAAACAACTGTCTTTTTATAAATGCTGAGAAATTAACTGTATGTCCAGTGAATTCTTAATAATACCCTTTAATGATTAATTCAGACATCATCATCTTTAAGACAGTTTCTCTGATCTTCTCAACTCAATATGATCTGTCTTTTTTTCCCCCTGAAATTACAACTTTAGTTTGTATGTCTTGCTACATTTGCCAGGTTTTACCTTATTTTATAGGAATTTTTTTTTTGAGTACTAACTTTAGACCTCAGCAGATGATGGTGTTTGGTGTGTGATATGGTTTTTAAAAATTTTTTTTGGAGCCCTTTAATCTCCTCCCAGGTTCTTGAATACAGTGTATATTTCTATTGCTGGCTGACTTTCTTGGATACCTGAGAATTTCTCATTGTTGTGATTCTTACTTTTGTTGCTCATTCTTTATTCAATATGAGTTTTAGATTGAAAATTCAGGACCATAAAATTAAGACAAGGGTAGAATTTATTGCCCTGTTAATTTTGTCTGCTCCAAAAATGTTTTCTCTAAAGTATATTTTTAACATTGCCTTTTATTCATAATTAATGTATCCCTTTTAGATTCAAGAGTAGAAATCTCCCTCAAATACAAATAAAAAGACTTTACTTGTTCTGAGCACATTCTTTATGATTTAACAGAGCATTAACCATCTCAGTCTGATATTTCCAGAATGAAAACTCTACTCTTAAATTAGTTCTCATATAGCTACTTGAATTTTTTATTTGTTCATCTGAAATATTTCTAAAGCCATCATATATTTCATAAGGTTCTGGGACCAAAATCATATCCCCAAATACATAAATAGCCAAATTATTTCTGATTTATATTTATTTTATATTAAAAAAAATCAGAGCCCTGTTAGCCTTTGGGTAGAGAAACACATTAAAATATTGCTTTAATTTTAATTAAGTAAAATTAAAAATTCAGTGCCTGAATCTCACTAGCATTATTTTACGTCCTCAGAGGTCACGTGGGGATATTGCCTACCTTTTTGGATAGTTTGGGTGTAGACTGCTTCCATCGTTACAGAAAATTCTGTGGGGCAGTGGTGGTTTACATATTGCCTTTTGTTACACAGCAGCTTTCACAGACACTTAACACTAACTCCATTCAAACTTTAACTTAAAAACAAAGAGACAAATTTCAAGTTTCAGTTGTATTTTCAGTGAAATTTAAATTTTTCCCTTATCACTTTTTTTGTGGTTATAACATCAACTGGATTGTTGTTCTCCAATGTTGCAATTTTTTTTTCTTACATATAGGCGTTTTTCCAGTGCCTGAGAGCTCCCTGTTTTTTCTCTTTATCCTTGGTTTTCAGTGGTTTGATTATGATGTGTCTGGGTGTGGTTTTCTTTGTGTTTATTCTAATTAGGATTCAGTGAAATTCTGGGATCTATGAGTTCATATAATTTTTGTCAAATCTCTGAGAATTTTGTCAATTTGGGGGAAACTTTTTGCTCCTCTGGGATGCCTGATATATGTATATTAAACTTTTGATGCTGTCATATAACTCACTGAGGCTCTGTTCATATTTTTAGTGTTTGATTTCTATTCACTATTTCTACAACTTCAAATTCACAAATCTCTTCTGCAGTCTTTCTGCCTGAAATATCCATCAAGTGTAATTTTTAATTTTAGATATTATAGCTTTCAACTTTAGATGTTCCATTTGATTCTTTTTTTATATCTTTAATTTTTCTCCTGGTTATGGGTCATATTTTCTGATTCTTGGGATCTCTAGAAGTTTTTAATGGATCCTGAAGATTTTGTATTTTGTGTTGTTGAGTGTCTGAGTTCTGTTTTTCAAAAAGAAGTATTGTACTTTGCTCTAATAGACATTTAGGTTGTTTTTTGGTTCAGTTTCATCATCTGAAGGCTTGTTTTTAAGTTTTATTAGGGTGGTTCCTGAGTACCTTCTACTGTAGAAATCATTTATCCCCGTTACTGAAGCCCAGCACGTCTATGTCCAAACTCAATGTTTCAGGGAGCAAGTTTCGACTTTCCACTGCTGCTGGTAGGAACTGAATGAATGAGTCTCAGGTTATGTGGGTCTGGGAACCACTCAGCTCACAGCCTTCCAATAACTTTGTAACCAGCCTCATAGAAGTTCATTCTTTGCATGCCTGTCCTTGGAATCAGCATAGATTCAAGGGACCCCAAGATGATTTCTGATAGCTCTCTTCTATCTAGAAATATGCTTCACAAATTCCTGCGTCCTTAGACACTTTAAACTCTGATCTATCACATCAGTTCAGTAAGGTTGCTGTCTCTGCTTTCAGTGCTACACACACAAACACACACACACACACACACCCCTGCCAACTCTAAGACTTGAAATATGATTCCCAGACAGAAAGTTAGGGCCATCCTAGACCTTACTTTGTTTTTTCACCCAGATGTCATGGATCTGCACTGCCCATGGCATAATGTCAGAAAAACATTTGTTTCATCTGTTTTAAATATTGGAGTATGAGTTAAGGCTTGATTTTGCAGAGAATGTTGAAATGATAGTGTATGACACAATGGCAAAACTATTTCTTCATTATAAACCTGATAGAAACTGGCAAATCAGTCTTCATGTGAGAGATTAGATACATGTAGATTTTAAGGTGATCAAAAAGCATTGAGTAGAATTAAACAAACAACAGTTTGAATTTACAGTCATGAGAGTCATCTACACAGAGTGAAAGGATGGAGCCAGAGAAAGCAGTGAGAATTCAAAGTGCAGCTGTGCTTCAAATTAAATTTGACTCAGGGTCAAGAACTTGGCTCTGTAAACCATGGATATGACCTAATCTAACACTTCTTTGTGTTTGCATTTAAACCAATTTACTTCTGTCCAGGATCACTCACTATTGAAAGTAATGGTACTATATTTCTAAAAATATCTATCATATAAGAGCAAAAAGAAAATAATATTACTTCTACGGATTGCATTACTGATGTTGGCCTAGAGTTGTAAGAAAGATAACCCTCAATCCATTCTGAAGCCAAAAATGAATATTTAGCTTATTTTTCTCCCTCAGTGTGATTAAAATGCACTTGATTATATGAAGAAGTTAAATGTTTGTTTAAAATACATATATACACCTTGATTTTTCTTGCTTGAATTGATTCTCAGAGCATTAGCTTGAGATATGCAATAGCTCAAATTGCCAAATTAAAAAAGATTATCAGCTTTCCTTTCCTTCAGCTCTAACCTTAAATAATTCATAAAGAATGCCCTGAAATGTAGCTAAGTTAAAACAAAACATGACAGCCATATAATCCTTGTTTTCAATGGTGCCATACTCTTAATTTTTATGTGAGCAACTGTTTATAAAGTCAACCTTCATTCTAAGGATATACACATATATATATATATGTAAAATGCTGTATCTGGTATTTAGTAAAATCTTGATAATCTAAGGTGTAATAATTAGCAGCCTAATCTGAGACATTTTTATGTTACTTGATTGCTCTTGATTTCAAGTGTAGCTGGTTTAAATGCATAGTGAGTAAATTCTCAAGTATATCCAACTTAAATGCCTTTAAGACTTCTACCTCTTTAATGCTCAATTTAGAAATGTCACTTTAAACTATTTTTTAAAATAAGATGCACTTATTAATTATTTTGTAGCTATAAGATTTTAAAAGAGATTCTTCATATAGAAAAGTATTTGTCACTGATCAAATATATCAGTTATCTAGGGTTCCACAAGATCATCAGTGTCAGAGATTGTATCCTTTTTGGAATTTTAGTTTCACCCTATTAGTTTCTTTAAATTGTTAGACACTTTAGAACATGATCCCTGGCAAAAAAAAAAAATGTGCTTAATAAATATTGTTGAATGAATTAATTAATTTTTAAAGCCTTAAAAAATAAATCTGTAAGTGTTGGAGTACTTGGAAATAAAAGTTTCATTGAGTTTAATTAAGCACAATTTAACACTCTGCCAAGCTCAGAAGAGTTTTTAGAAATACTAGCAGTCCTTAGGCAACATAGGAGCCGTTAGTTAAATGAATTAAAAATGAGATTGAGAATAGAAATTACAGCACAGATACCCAGTCTGCTAATTTGCTGAACATTGATGAAAACTAGCTACATATGCTGTTTTTTTGAAACTGAAATTTGATATTGGTTCAATTAAAGAGAATGTATAGAATTAATTATGGTTAAATCCTTCTTTTTCAAAATCGTATTTTTCCTATGTTAATTTCTAATATTAAAAAGTTTTAATCCTTTTTTCTCTTCCACAGCATTTAATAAAATGAATTGTTAATTTCTGATAGAAAGGTTCTGATAATGAAATAGCCAGTATGGTGTCTCATTCCTCAAACTTTCTTCTGAAATATTGATAGACTTAAAATTAAAAACAGCTACAAAAGATTTAGTCACTGTGCAGGCTTGACTTTTAGAGAAGTAAATCAGGAATTTATCACAATATGTTAAATAATTATAAGTATTTTGCTACTGCATTTTGCAATGCAATATTCACCTTTTATATATATTACTAAATTTTCTTCTCAAGAAGATCAGTAGTAGTTAGGAATTAGAGGTTACCTGGTACACTATTGAAAAACTGTTAAAAGCCAGTGGTATTTATTCAATCTAATTATTTTCCTTTTGATTTTTTTTTCTTTAAGGATTAAAGCAAGGAGAGCCAACCATGACTGGCAAAACACAGACCAGCAATGTCACCAATAAGAATGACCCCAAGTCCATCAACTCTCGCGTTTTCATTGGCAATCTAAATACAGCCATTGTCAAGAAGGTTGACATTGAAGCCATTTTCTCAAAGTATGGAAAAATAGTTGGATGCTCAGTTCACAAAGGTTATGCATTTGTACAGTACATGAGTGAACGGCACGCGAGAGCTGCCGTGGCTGGAGAAAATGCCAGGATCATCGCAGGTCAGCCGCTCGGTAAGTCCTGCTCGGTTACGGGTTTCACTTTAATGTTCTACTCTCTGCACATATCTGGATATGGCTTACTGTTAAAAGCCAGCATTACCATGACATTTATCTCTTAATCAATTAGAGTGCCTATGCATTTATCATTTATATTATTTTCTTGTTCTCTTATTGCTTTATTACAAGTGTCTTATTTTCTCCACAAATTTATAAGCATGAGATCAAATCTGCTTTGCAATACTTGTTACTTCCACCAATCCTAACAGGTCCAGGCAAATAAAAAATATGCATCATATTTAACTTTATTTGACTTAAAATGATGTCTTATCTTCCAGGAAACACTATGCTGAGAAAACAAAAACAAACAAACAAAAAAAATACTTTACTTTTTATACGTTTAGCATTTGCTCTGAGAGGCTAATGTATTTTTGTCATCTCTTGTTTTTATTTTTTCGGGAGAAGGGACAGAAAATAGCAAACGGAAGTAAATCTTGGGGACTGGAAAAGGACTATAATCCATTCTTTCTTACCTAAGCAGGGATCTTGTTGTGTCTGCTCAGTCATGTGCAATAATCAGATTTATGTTTAATGTACAAGGAAGAATATGGTTTATTTTTTTCAAAGAAAAGAGAGGAATATAGTCTGAAATAAAATGAAAATTTCTAGGAGAAAACATTTTGTAAAAAGTATGCAGATAAAAAATAGAAATGAGACAATCTTCTTTCTACAAAAGGAAAAATTGTAATTGAAACATCAATGGTTCTCCAATTTATATATCTTATTGTGTTCAGATTCATATATTAATCTGTTTATACAATGTCTTCTTTTGGATGTCTAATGGGGATCTCAGCTTTATGATCAGAAAACAGAACAATACTCTTAATTTTTCACCCCCCGAACTTGCTTCACCTCCATGCTTCTCCATCATAATAAATGAAACTTCATTTACCCAGTTTTTCAAAGAAAAACCTAAATGTCAACCCTGATTCTTCTCTTCCCCTCACACTCCAAATGTTATCCATCATCCTATTTCTTGCCATTAATATACCCCAAACTCAATCAACTTTGAAATCTAGACCAATAGACCAATAGCTGTCTTATAGAAGCTGCCATTTTATCTCAGCTGGACCACTGAAATAACCCCCTAACTGGTCTGCCTCTTTCCACTTTCCCTTGGTCCCTTGAAAAACTAAATGACATTATGCCATTAATCTGCTCTTAAGCCTCCAGTGCCTCCGCATTTCCCCCAGAATAAGATAAGTCTATCCTACAGCTACAGTGCCCCACACTGCACGTCCTCAGCTCCATCTCGCTCTCTCTGCCTTCCTGTATCACTTCAGTGTTGCCGGCCATCTTGATATGCCTCAGACATCCCAAGATTGTTCCCACCTCGGAGGCCCTGGACTTGCTGTTTCCTCTGCTCAGAAGACAGGTCTTTGCTAGATTATTTTCTCCCTGCTTTATTTTGTGCTTTGCTCCAATTTTCCTTCCCCAGAGAGGTTTTTCTGACCAACCTGACTAAAATAAAATAACGTTCTGCCCTCTTGCTTATACTGTCTATTCTATTAGTGTGTTTTTTTTTTCATAGCCTTCATCTGTACCTGGAATTACATATTTTAATTTATGATGTTACTTCTTTCATGTCCACAGACATAAAGATGAAGGAGCATATAAAAGAAACAAGAATAAAAAGCTTAGACAAATCAAGTTAGAAGAGTGCTAAGAATGTTGTGTTACCAAGTTATATAACATAGTTATGAAAAATTGGGGGGAAGGTATGGGATTCAATAAAATGAGAGTGAAGCCTGGGTTAATAGTCTTCAGGGAGTAAAAGATGTTTTACATAAATGCTTGCTATAAAACCACAATCATTACCATATAGGAATATGGTTTTATTTATATTCCTCTAGTTCACTTATCATATTTTAATGAAAGACAATACTTTCAGAAAGACATTGGGAAGTTTTACATTTGTCCTTTTTTTTTTTTAATATCCACATTCTACTTGTTTACCTTGAAATGGAAATTTTCCCGCCAATTTTGTTTTCCTTTCTAAGTTGAAATTTCTACTTCGAGGCCACATCTGAACCAGTTATCAGAGAAATGCCCATTTCCTGTATCCTGATTGTTATGAAACTAGTGCATACTTGTAAGAATGCCTTTAATTATTAATGCCTTTAATTTTAAGTTAGTTGCCAATATAAAATCAATTAAAAGTCCAATTCACGTGTTCATGAACTATAGCTGACTTTCCAGAGTCTCATTTCCTAGGTTGGGAAGGGGGAACTTCCCGCCTACCCCTCTTGAGTTCTTGTAGGTGGGCTAATAATAAAATCAACATAACCCAGGTTAACAGGAGAAAAAGAAACAAATTGTTACTCGTGCACATGGACGGCTTGTAGAAATGGGGCCCAAGAAGTGGCCAAAGCAGGTAGTTTTTATACTTTTTAGACAAAGAAACAATACATTTGGGAGGAAATGACAGGACCAAGAAACTTAGATTTGGGGACTTAAATAGTTAGGAATTTTAACAAAGTTTGGGCTTGGGTAGTAAACTGGTTTGTTTTTAGAGGCTTCTTGGCCAGGATTCGCTGGCCCGGGTGTTAAGGGTGTTCATTTACCTCCAGGTGCAGGGAGGATACCTTTCACATGAGAGATTTATTTCTTGTTTCCAGGAGACAGAGGAGGGTCTGAGTGTCCCTCTTGGACTGGCTGTTTCTTACGTAAGTTTAATTCGAAATAATCAGTATGCCTTGAGGCATGTTTTGGAGCAGGCTGCCTTGAACCCCAATACCTATCACTGCTCATTTCTTTGCTATCCCTTTGAGAAAAATGCAGTGGGGAAGGAGAGATAGCCACACTAAAACTTTAGTGCCTTGCTTGGAAAATCCCATGGGGGGACAAAATGATGACACCACATCACTATTCTTTGAGAGACCAGAATTAAATTATGCTTCTAAGAAGATACCATTTCTCATTCCCAGTCATTCTTCTGGGATCCTCTCTCGGTTGTGTCCTCCAGTTAATCTCTGGAGCATTTATCTTTTTTTTTTTTCCATTAAGGAGCATATATCTTAATCAGCCATAGTCCACCCTTTCTGCTTGAATCCAAGTCAAAGACTTGATTCTTTCAGTTGAAATCTGGTCGTTCACTCCTTGTGTCTAAGCTGAACGCCTTTTCATACAAAGCAGGTGATTTACAACTTAATAACTCTGCTTTTCAGGACAAGCGTCTCAATCTACTCACCTTTCCTTAAGTGATATTACTAGGGATTCAGGCAAAAGCATGTGTTAGATGTTCCTTATGAGCATCTGGTTCCTGAAGAAAATGTTTAGTTTTCCAGGAGATATATCCATTTCTGGCTTTAAATACCTTATTTTTGGTGACAGGTGAAAACTTAGGTTTAAGTAAATCACTTGCTTCTTGAGATTTTTGACTCTCAAATAAACCAAATTTTAAGGTTTTTAGCTCCCACTAAACCCTACAAGTCCTTAATTTGAAGCAGATTGGTTATGGATCAAATAATAGACCACTGTCATACAAAATTGTCATTAGCTTCACGTACCACAACGTATCTAAGCATTCCTCCTTTTCTTTAAGGTGGGAAGAGAATTAGTATTGATTAAGCCATGCACTGGGCTAGTTCTTTACCTATATTATCTTATTTGATCTCAGTGCATATCACTTCATATCACTATGTGTTTAGTTTTTTATAGACAATTTAGAAATTCAAGTAGAACATCAATAGTACCAGAAAAAATTAAACATCCTAATGTGAGTCCTTATTGTTTGATGGTGATTACAAATATATCTCTAAACTAAGAATGGCTTATGCATGTGATGAAAAGTAGCATTTATTAAATGGAAAATACGAAAAGCTATTTTGAGTCTGTCAGTAAGGGGACATTGAAGTGTTTTAAGCTGGGAAGTGAAAAGTTGACATTTTTTATTGAAAGAATAATCCATCAGCAGTTTGATGGATGGATTAGTGTGATATAAAACTAGAAACAAGGACATGTGTTTGCAGTCTGCTGAAAGAATCTAGGTTTCAAATTATGGAAAAGAAGAGGAAAAAGTTAGGAAAAGGAGGTAGGACCAATAAGATTTAATAACTAATTGGCACAATGGGTGAGACAGAAAGAGAAGAATTAAGAATGATTCCCATATTTCTGGGTTGACTTGCAGATAACCAGGATGATGGAGAAAGATTTCCCAAAGGAAAAGATTCCTGTGTAAGACAGAGTTCAGGACTGAATAGATGTATTAAGATTGATGTACATGCCTGAAGGTATCTAAGTAGATGTATCTATTAGAATCTTGGATACGCAGTCCCAGCTAGGAGGAGAGAGTTGGACTAAGGGTAGTGAGTTTGTAAGTCATCCACACAGACAGAGCTAAAACTATGGAGATGCATAAGTTCACCCTGGGAAAGTATACAGGGTGCAAAGAGTATTGGCTGAGGACTGATCTGTGGAGAAACCTTTGGGTCCCAATAAAAAGAAGAACCTTTCTGATAAGACTTCTGGAAGTCTAAATCCAAAGGACCTTCTACACAGCTCTTTGATCTCCCAGTTCTAGGTTACAGGTACCATGTCCTTCCAGAACTTCGAGTATTAGATGACTACCTTCTTAGTCGATCCTTAAGTCAGTTCCCCTAAGCTGCTAATGATTTCCAAACTTTCATAAGCACAAATGTTCTTATTGATACTAATATTTAAAAATCTCATTTGGGAGAGCTTAAGCATATTATCTTTAAAGCCTAAGTTTCTTTCCGTATCAATGTCTTCTATACCCAAAGCCACCTGCCCAGCTGAGTGGTGGAGAAAACCTTTTATCTACCTTGCCAGATTTCATTGTTTGTCTTTAATAAAGCCATTGGCATAAATAGAAATGTTCTTCAGACCAACTGCAAGTTAACCATTGCAGACATAGTCAGGATGAATTTACACACTTGACTACATTTGTATAACTCAACATTTAAGAACAAAAATTCCATATATCCAGATTATAAAATACTCTGCATCTTTCTGAAGAAATCAACTTTTACCATAAAATTATCATCAAATTCTAGTTTGAAATGTTAAGTAAGTATATAGTTTGCATTCTTTCCAAATTTATGTAAGATGAGAAGTTATTTTAAAGATTGCTGGATCCTACCTAAAAATTACAGTGCATGGAGTAATTAAGGGAGCTCAGAAATTAGAGCTCAAAATACTGGAACTCTCATCTGAATTTTGAAAGGTCAGAGTCTAATGTCTCGATTAACTTCCTTCCTTGGGTTTTTTAATTCAAGATTAAAGACGAAGATTTCTGAACTTTATAACATAACACATGAAAAGTCACCTTGTGTTAGTTCAATGATCTATTCATTTTATCAACATGATAATGACCCCAAGCAATGTTTTACTGAATACATAGTTTGTTTCCTGAGGTTACCTCCCTTAAAGGCATATAGCACATTAACTAATAATTAAAGGCTACTTTTTTGCCTTTGAGGTTAAACTCCCATATATTTAATACTTCAGAGAAATTAAATGAAAACAAAAATACTTATTTCTTCAAACTGCAAAGAACGTCTCCAGTTTTTTTTCTTTTTAAGTCTATGATCCAGGCATGTCCCAAACCTGATTGTGAGGTTGACAGATTTATTTTGGGT